ATACAAAGCGAATAAGGAACGAATAAGGAACGAATAAGTAACATGGTATCAGTCGAGCGCGGAAACGGGTACATACGCGCCAATAGAGAAATTTCACCACTAAGAAACAAGAATATTCACCAGATACAAGAAAGTAAAAGAGAATAATGCATTAGAAATGTCAAGGTATACCAATCGAAAAAGAAACGAATAAGTAGCGAATAAGTAATAGGGTATTAGTCGAGCACAGAAACTGGTACATACACGCTACTAGGGTAATTTCACCACAACGAACCAAGAACTAACACCAGATAAAAGAAAGTAAAAGAGAAGAAATCATGTGAAGAGAAGCGAAAGATACCAAAGGGACATTCAAAGTCGAAAATAAATTGACAACGCCATGGCTAAAAAAGGAAAGACCAACAAACAAACAAAAGTACACAGAACACAACACAGAAAAGAGACTGAGCAACACGAACCCCACCAAAAACTGCTCATGTTAGTACAAACCCGGTAATCAGTCTTAATCGGTATGTCACATTTGGGAATAGGGGACGGGATTGTAGTTACGACATTAAGAACATATCCGTTATCATCTGTGAAACGGATATTCCAGAACGGTCAACCGTAAAATTTCGTTTAGAATGTTAACGTATACAATTCGAATGAGAAAGGAATAAGTAACGAGTAAGTAATAAGATATTAGTCAAGCACAAAAAGGGTACATACGTGCTAGTAGGGTACTTTAACCTCTACCAACTAAGAACTAACACAAGAGACACGGAAAGAAAAGATAGGAACTCATTAAAAATGTGCAACATATAAACTCGAATAAGGAACAAATAAGTAACGAATAATAAACAGGGTATCGCTAAAACGGATAGACACGCGCTCAAAAGTTGATTTCACCTCTACAAACCAAGAGCTATTACTAGAAATTAGAAAATAAAGCGTTAACTATGTATTCTTCTGACGTTTCCGTCTCGTTGAAATCCGTTCTGGAATTATTTCCAAAACATGTAAGTCAAGAGGAAAATATCAATGAATTTAAAAAAATAATATAATCAAACTTAATTCTGTGAAAAAATTGTGTATTTATTTTAAGTAGTTTTTGAGTAATACAATGTTTAAATTTTATAACCAATCAAGTCAGTCTCATTAGCCAAAATGTCGAGAAAATGGGTGAGGGGTACAAGAAATGAGTTTACAAGAAACATGTACATCTCATATCCATTTGTTCTTTTCAAATTTCTTAGATATGTATTTTTTTGCTTCATTTATAACAAATAAGTTAAAATAATATGCTTTTTGTTCTAAAAAAAGAGAAAAATCCCAAATTTACAAAAGTGACCCTATGGTAAATTTGACACGAAAAAGCAACAAAATTTTATAATTTTTTTTATATTAACAACTACCTATAGTTTTTTTTAAGTTAAATTTATTCAGATTGATCTTTAGTGAAAGTATGAAAAAAGGTTTAATTGTAAAACTTGGATTTTTTTCATGATAACAGCCCAAAAAGGGGCAAACATTGATAAAAATGGGAAAATCATCAAAATTGGGTGCTTTCAAATGACCGTAGCAAAACAGATGTGCACCACCATATGATTTTTTTCTTTACCAATTATTTTTTAAAAGTCATATAAACCCAAAAATCAGGTTAAGAAAAAAAAGTTTAATTCTAGAAATTGTTGGCTCCTCAGAGGTATACATCCTTAAAAGGGGAACAAATATTATAATCGAATAACGAACGAACATGTAGCGAATAAGGAATAAGACATTACATAACAAATAGATAACGAGAAAGGAATAAGAAACGAATAAGGAATAAAAAATAAGGAATAAGTAACGAATAAGGAATAAGAAGTAAGTAAGGAATAAGGAATTAGTAACCAACATGACCATCCTATCTAATTGAATAGTTGTATTGTAGCAATATAAGTATTAAGTTAGACATCACTTTTTTTTAATATATATTATAAATTAAAGATCACAAACCATAATTGATGTTTTATTCTTTAACTGAGATATTTTGTTGTATTCCGAAATTGTAATAGAAATACATGGATTTTTCTTTGAGCTAAAAATATACATGTTTTACATTTAAGTTTAAATCTTAATTCTGGTTGACACGGATTGGTGTGTATACTTTGAACAAGACATTATTTGACGCGAACTGCAAACTGAAGAATGCGTGTACGGCGTGCATTGTTCATCTGTTAAAACAAATCGTTGATAATACCAATGCGTATATTGTCATGATAATATCTGTTTGTGAATGTTTTGACTTACTTTCATATTAACAGGGTCCAATGCAGACTCATTTTTTTTAAATTATCACACCTAGGTTTTCGATATCACAAACTTGTCGAAACTTAATTTTATCATCGGTACAAGGACACCGTTCGTATATATATATAAACCTTATACGTGTAGGAATTTCACATCCCAGATTGTGTGGTTATATTCTATACAAAGCACAACAATGTCGGTATTCACCTAAAAAGCTTACCAAACCTTTAAGCAGACTTATTTGGAAAAGATATAGTTACGATAATGTCGTCAGGTCATTAAAGGTGAACAACAACTATGCAAAGTGGCAATCAAAACCAAAATTAAGATGAAACACGGACGAAAAACACTGTCATATGTAAATATAGATTTCGTTTTTTCCGACAGGATATTCGTCAAGCCCATTAGTAATTCAAATAACTGTCTATGAGTAATTATAAAATTTCTTTTGTGCACAATATGTAATATTTATGCATAATCAGGAAATATAACACTCCGAAATATTATAATATGTTACGGCTCGTTTGAAAGAAATAATGCAGATGTATAACGGATGTGGTGCCAAACTGAAGACAAACGAATAACGGTTGTTCCGAATTTATAAACTGTTAACACAAATATATGTCTCACCTTTCTGTAATTTTGATAGTATAATGCAAATATTGAATCTAAATGACAAAATTTAAACATGAAAATGATGTGAAAGTTTCAAAGACAATGAACCACGCTGGGAGGACGGGACCATAACATCATTGAAAAGAGACTTTGAAATTCTAATACAACTGCATACTTACTATCATTGATTTAACATTAGCGGTTCTTCTTAAAACGATCTAATCACAAACTTAACATGTATAATATGCAAAACATTAAAAGTCAACAGACCAAGACTGAGGCGGCGGAGCCAAATAATTTCTATGGAAATGTGCGAATGCTAATACAAATGCATATCAAATATCATTGACCTACCATTATAGGTTCTCAATAAACTGACCTAATCGCAAACGATCACATTGTTGACGCCAACGCCATAAACGCTGTCGGAAACATTATACAAAAGTCTCACCTTTTGACGCTGTCTACGTGGAACAAAAACGAACTAATGTTTGGCGGTTGTTGTGAAGCACATACACATACCTAAACGCAAGATCTGCTAGATAAATCGTAAGATTGCATTTATACATTATTTTTGAACTCATGTGTTACGTATTCTTACGTACATAATTTATTTTTATCATACATGCTTGTGTGTGTGTGTGTGTGTGTGTTGTGAGAGAGAGAAGTGGAGAGATACGGACAATTTCGATTGACATTTTTATCATTCTTTTATGGTGATGCCCTCTTATTTGTTTTATCAATGCAAATACTATAATTCATATAGGCTGAATAGGACTCACCAATATGACGTATTGCATGAGTTATTCCTCTTGATTCGTGTGATTGAGGAGTTTACTCTCATGCATTTCAAATTATGTCGTATGCATTACTAACTTTAAAGTTATTGTGTGAACTATTTAATTTTCTTCCGTCTGTCTGGGTTTTTTTTAACAAGAAGATCCATTAAAAGTATTGACCACAAGTAGAACCCATGCATAACATACGTAGTCTACACTCATTGTCTAATTTATGATAGTTTTCAGACTAAATTTTAGACTCAAGTAGACTTTACGCCCTTTGCTAAAAAAATAATTTTTTTTACCTGTAAATATTGATGAAAATCAGAAACGACCCAATTGCATATTTTATGATATAGGTTCTACTTATAGGACCATATTTCAAAGAGCAAATTATGCAACATAGTGATTCATGAACACCACATCTCTAACATTTCCAAACATTTAATACGTTTCAATTATCGGTAAATTAAGTATTGCTCTATAATTTATATTTTTTTTTGTCAGATTTTGTGTTGTTCTATAGAACATAAGTAAATCTCATAATATCTTCGTTTTTCAAGAGAAATGTTAACGTGAGAAACATTGCGACAGGAATACTATATAGGAACTTTTGTTATAGGAAAAAATATATCTCGTAAGTTTTTTTAAATCTTATAGAGAAAAAAACAATTCTGCATGATAAATAAAATATCCGAAATGTGTAGAGCTTTATCCAATAATAATTTTTGAAACCGTAAAGGATAAAACAAAAATACCATAGGATCATTACTCTTTGTTAACATGCTGCGCCAAAAATCGTTGTTTTTTTAAAACATATTTTTGTCACCAATCCACTAAACAAGGATTATCATGTGTAAAATTGGGTTGACCTACCAAGGAATAAATCATGTCATGGATTAGCAGTCAGAACAAGTGCATAATCCGAGAAGCTGTTTTCTCTAAAACACTATAAAAAGGGGTTAAGAGTAATATAGCAGCGTAGAACTTGAAATCATGTAAGGTATAAAAATAGTCACATCGACCTATATTCTAACTTCACTAACGTGCTTGTAATATGTGCCGTTCATGCAATATCATATGTAAACACATGTAGGTGGTAACATATGAGCAAACGTCTCACATTTTGAAAAAGAAAAGGTAATTAAAAAATAAAACAGAATTGGCGTAAAAAAACTTATTAAAATTGGCAGATGGAAAATTCATCAAAAAAGTAGTCAATATATTGAAACATATTTATGTAGTTTACAATTTTTGACATGCAATAGCTTCATTTTTGACAAATCATCAATTTTAGTTAGTTAGTTTATATCCAATCTACAGCTTACCTTGGCCTGTACATTAATATCAATACCCTTGTCAATAAGCCAGTGGACAATATCTCTATTTCCTTTACGTACAGCCTCAAACAGTATAGTCGAACCATCCTTGATAGAAAAACAAAACATGTTGCAGTTATTAAATAATTATGTTATATATATATTTATATACCAGTAAAACTGGGAACACAAGTGGAATGGAAATAACTATTAGTAAGTGAAGCCATTTCATACCTCTATTCGCTTTACTCAGAGTTATTATTTTAAATATAATTCTAAAGCAAAAAATCACATATAAAATAAGAGTAATTCTTTCTTTTAGTGTATATTTTTTTATGTTCTTAATTGCACTGTACATTTGTAATAAACGTCACGCATTTTAATTATCGTTACAAAAAGTAAAATAATTACAATACCGAATTCCACTGGAAATTAAAACCGGAAAGTCCATTTTAAAATGGGAAATTTCAAAAGATCAAACACATCTAACGAATGTTCATTGTTTAAACGCACAGACTTGTTATGTAAGTATAATTTACCTAACTTTCTCTTACGTTTCAGTTATTTTCCCATAATCAGAAGTGTACAGTAATGATGTAGCTATCTGTAAATCTTTCTATTACAATCATCAACAAGTTTAATAGGTTTTGTTGCCAGTCTTGGCTTGATACCTATTTTCATATATTTCATAAATAAAAAGAATCATTTGGGTCAATATCCCTTATGCATCTAAAATTGAGGAACTCAAAAGTTGTGCGTTAACGAAAAAATCTCTGTGTAGTGATATTTGAAATGTTTTTATTTTTAACAAGTGACTGGGCTTAACCATTTGTGCATATTTGGAAAGTAGAGAATTTTCAAAGATCTTAATGTGTGAAAAAAGGAATTTGTTACCTCGGAGGGTCTATCACGAAAGGGTGTGCTAATTTACGAAAACATGAATCTCACTTCGTACCCCGAAAATAGAATCACATATGTGAAAATGTCTCAGCTTCAAAATGAGCCATAATACATATCCAAGATTACGAAGTGAGCAGAGGAATTGAGGAAAAGGCTACAATTACCACCTTCCTAAAATGAATTGCGCATCTGTGCCCTATTTATAAGATGTATTTAAAAATTTGTCAGATTGATTTATGCATGATTGCATCTAGTTCACCAGAAAAAATAGTGAAAATGAAGGTAAGTTGCCTTTTAAAAATACCTAGTTATCACAGCTGGTTCTGGATTATCATTATCTATAAAGGTCAGGAACAATTTTTCTTTTTGAAATGTATTATTGGCATGGCGGGTGGAGCAGTTCTAATCTTTGTTAACATGAGAGGCACATGTCATTGACCAGAAAAAGGGACTAACTTCTTATGGAAACATTTGTTATTGTTAAATATTGTAGGTCAACATGACACACTAAATACATTGGTATGCCATTATTATTCAAGTTTATACATCATAAAGGAATAGCTGATAATCAAGTGAAATAACACACTTCGTACGAGTATAATTTGATACATGTGTTTTACACCAATAATTTGCCCATTGATTAGCAGCTGGTCACTAAAACATGCAAATCAACAGACAAACTTATTTTAAGAAAAGCATGAATTGCTATAGTTTAATGCACAGTTACAAATCACAAAGATAGTTTCTTTTCTCAGTGAAAAAGGGTGAGGGTCAAACCTTTTAAAAGCAAAGTGCTTCCCATAAAAAGCTACTAAGCTACAACTGATTGCTCTTCATAAAAAAAGGTTAAAATGAAGGTGGTGAAACCATAAGGTAGAAACATCTCTCTTTTTTGTGATTAAACTTGAAAGAATTTGATTTTCTCGCTCTCAATAATACAGTTTGTATATAAATGAAATGATAACATAACCTGAGTCTATTGTTTGTCTTATTTCAGTTTGAGACATATCATTCGAGTATAACTTGAGACGGCAAATTAGAGGTTTTAGAAAGTTCTGAATTTCTTGTAAGCATTTTGTATTATTAGGAAAGCTCTAAGTTGTTTATTTATGGTATTTATGCAATTGCAATTACAGTCATTATTTATAAGATCAGCAAACATTTTCGCTTTTGTGGCTGGAGAACTATGTTTAGGCACAATCAAAACTGTGTGTACATGAACGCTGAAAGGCACATGTCATTGACTTGAAAAAGGTACTAACTTCTTACGGAAACATTTAATATCGTAAAATATTCTAAGTCAACATGACACATTAACGACATTGGTATGCCATTTTTATTCAAGTCTACACATACTAAAGGAATAGCTGATAATCAATGGAAATAACACACTTCGTACCAGTTTAATTTGATACATGTGTAAATGTTAACACGACCGGAGTAAATTTATTGTCTTATTTCAGTTTCAGACATATCATTCCAGATTAACCCGAGACTCAAATTAGAGGTTTTATAAAGTTTATGAATTATTGGTAAGCATTTGGTTTTATTAGGCAAACTCTGAATTGTTTTTTATGGCATTTATGCAATTGAAATTACAGTCAGGACGTTGAAAGTATGCTGATATGAACACTGTTGCTATGGTCAAATATATACATATAAATGCTTACTTACTGATCTTTGAGTGTGAGTTAAACCCTGAAGCAACTTTTTGTTATGAAACACTGCACACTGTGCTTAGCATTATTTTAATCAGTCGTTATGTTATGACAGCATAATACGTGTGATGTAATGATGTTTATTTTTTAAACCTAATGTGCATTTCTCACTGATCAAGAGTTTTCACTAGAATACATTTTAAAAACCTTTTTTAAATTAAATTATGTGAAAGGAGAAGTTTCGAAAAGTTTCACTTTGCTTGCGCTTTAATTGAATGATACATATGACATTCACAGTAGTTCAGATAGGTTTCTATAGTTGAAATTAGCAGATTTCAAGTGGTAAAAGTTATAAAGTATTTTTAGGGGTTTTGATGAAATCTACATTTTGCATAATTTCTCAGTCAAAATACACTTTTAGACATCAGAAGATGTTGTTAAATTCTTTAACAGGGTCTGTATATTGTAATTGAAGGTTTTCATCAGATGTTTTCTCCATATTTTGACTTGTGAAGGTATACTGGAAGAAATCAAGTAAACTTACACATTGTTTTCATAATTATTAGATACAGCGATACAAAGGTCATTGCCTTATAGTGATGAAACAACTTTATTTTCTCTCAGAAATTGACAAAATACACAGATTTATTTCAACAGTCATTCCGATATAGATCAAACCAGAATATTTTGAAAAATCAGAACTTTGAATTTTAATATTGGTCAATATACCAAATGCTCCTCAAATTGAGGAACTCAAAAATAGTGCGTAAACAAAAAATCTCTGTGTAGTGATATTGGACATGTTTCTATTTTGAACAAGTTACTGAGCTTAACCATTTGTGCTCACTTGGATGGAAAGTAGAGGACCATAGAATAAATGTGTAAAAACTATTGAGTTAATAAATGTATGCAAACAACTAAATTTTCAAAGAACTTTTTTGGTGAAAAAAGGGATTTTTTTAACTCAAAAAGTCGCACCACGAAAGGATCATATCGTACCCCAAAATATTAACCACATATTGTACCCCAACAATTTAACCACATACGTGAAAATGTCTCAGCTTGAAAATGAGCCATCATACATATACAAGTTTACGATGTGAGCAGAGGAATTGAATGCATGTAAAATAATAAAATGGGTGGTGAAAGCTAGGCAAATGTATGAATGTTCCTTCCTATATTTATTTTTTATAAGAAACAGTAAAAAAAAAACAGACTTGGGATATTCATACATACAGCAATTTTCTGATGGAAAATTCGTTATTAATTGAGGAATTGGTTAACATTTAAAAGAAAGCGAAACCAAACGTCCACGGATTCCCTCCTCATCTTCAGGCAATTACTGTCATTTTGTGTTTTTATAAAAAAAAAAATACATGGTTCATGTACGGAACCATATTGAACATATTAGTTTAATTAATGTCCTACAATTATTCTATCACATAATCTATAATAATGTTTATAAAAGATGGGTTCCTTCTGATAACAAATTATCATATATGTATCAGTAATAACATAAACGGTACCAATGTTTCTGCACCAGATGCCCATTTCGACAATCAATGTCTCTTCAGTGATGCTCGAGGCCAAAATATTTGAAAATCCAAAGCTTATTAAATATATGAAGAGCTATAAACAAAAAAGGACCAACATGTATAGCCAGAGCTGGGCAAGGAATCAGAGCTTTGCATGAGGGAGATACATTCCTTAATTTTCAATAATTTCCAAAATTTTGTAACAGCAAATTTTAATAACATAAAATCCGTATTTTTATGCCAGTACCACATTACTGTAGTACAAAGTAATGTATGCTATTTGTAAATTAAATGTTTGCATTCATACTACACTACTCTAGTGTTTCGGCGGTATTTTTCTATATGATGCATAAAATATTATTATACAGGCCCATCATCATTAGGGATTGTCCTATATACATTTTTTTCTTTTTATTGTTTCTTTACTTTGGTCGATGTTGGAATATCTGATAATGTCTGTGCCTGTTATAAGCAATCATGTGTGTGTTTGTGAATACTTGATTGCAAACCACATTATCCCGTATGAGAAGACAGTGTTTCAGAAGGTGTAGCCGCAATTTGCTGATGCAAGGCTTTTGTTTAGTAGCCATTACAAGAGGAATATCATGGTTACGTTTGCCTTCTTTAGTTGAAAACACATTTTTCCCGTCTTTGGTTTAATATATTCAAATATTTGTGACACTTCTTTGTGGTTGCCTCAGAGCAAAGAAAAGCAAGTGAAATAATATCATATTCGATTTATTATATGACAATTGTATTTTTCTGTTTCATTTGGATTTGGAGTTTTGATTCCCCATTGGTATCGTTTCTCTCTTTTTCTTATCCTGTATAATTTTGTTTGACAGTCCTATAGGAATTTGTAAAACTGTTGAAATATCCTATGGAATGATATATTTTTACATGCAGGTGAGTAATTAACAAAATGTTTTGTCGTGTATTACCTCTACCATGGTCGACGTTTTTTACAATTTGGTTGCCCGACGCAAATCAAACTAACATGGACAAACACACTGAT